AGTGGTGTACATTGTAAATGCAGTAGTGTACATTGTAAATGTAGTGGTGTACATTGTAAATGCAGTGGTGTAACTGTAAATGTAGTGGTGTACATTGTAAATGTAGTGGTGTACATTGTAAATGCAATGGTGTAAACTGTAAATGCAGTGGTGTACATTGTAATGCAGGATATACATTGTAAATGTAGTGGTGTACATTGTAAATCTAGTGGTGTACATTGTAAATGCAGTGGTGTACATTGTAAATGTAGTGGTGTACATTGTAAATGCAATGGTGTAAACTGTAAATGCAGGAGTGTACATTGTCAATGTAGTGGTGTACATTGTAAATGTAGTGGTGAACTATGTATGTACATGTAATTGTGTACATACAGTTTACACCTCTACATATTTCCTTACTTGGTGGCAGTCGTATAGCAGTTGTTGGACTAAAGGGAAATAATGCGGCCAAACAGAAAAAAATTACAGGACAAATCTTATAAGAGCATTATCTCAGTAGAGTGAACTTCATCTACTAGAGCACGCAAGTCTTATATGAATGACGTATTAAAGGGAATCATCAGGAACAAATTTATATATAAAGGGAAATACTGCTGGACTAGAAGAAATTTTGATTAAAACTGATCGAGTGCCAGTGTTGTAGGAGAGTTGAAGTTTAAAAAAAAAAATACCACTGCATGGCACTGCCACACCAAATTCATATGGCATCTTGAAAAGTTACCAAATAAAAAGACTTGAGTTAATTCTGTAATATTTGTAGTGATACAAGCTAGTGACAAAGGTTAATTTTGGCGAGAATTCAGAAACAAGTGAATTGTGTTAAGTATCACGCTAAACAACACATGTGGTCTTATTATTGTAGTGGCCGCGACAGTAAGGGTCCATACCTCGAGTAGGCTTCTCCAAGTACTTTTAAGAAACTATCCAACATTGAGTATTCGTGAATAGGTACAATGTACCACCTATTGTACATAAGTAAAGAGGCACGTACAGTAATTTAATCAAACTTGTCATCCAACTTCTAAGCTAACTTTTCTCTACAAAAACAGCAATACTTAGATGTACCATATTGGCAACGACAGTTACCCCTGTCTGGTTTGGGGAGTTCACACTCTCGTTTCTATCTCTTTATCATCCATGAATGACCTGGTCGGCACCAGATGGATAACCCCATAGCACTGTCTAAAATTCCACAGACCCCGTCAATCATTGCACGGTGTTACCAAAATCGTAAGATTTGACCTCAAATGTACGTTTGACCAAAGGGCTGCTTTCTATTGATACATTGTACCCTTTATCTTGCACGTTTTAATATGGTTCCATTCCTTATCATGAATTATCTAATTTTACAGCTCATTTTGTTCCAAAGATTACCAAAAAGAGAGACTTGAGTTAATTCTTTAATACTTGTAGTCATACAAGCGTGTCTTAGACATGTATTACAAGGGTAGATTTTGGCGGGAATACAGAAACTAAATATAAACTTTATTTATTTTACAACAATTATTATGAAACAAGTTATTTCAACTTATATCAATCACTCTTGTTGTCCCGGATGTTAGCGCGTGGGGGGTCTTAGTGTGGGAGGAAACCGGAGTACCCGGAGAAAACCCACGTGTTCGGGCAGGTGACCCCAACCTTTTCACGTCCGATCGGGAAATCGAACCCCGGCCGACTTGGTAAAAGGCAAGTGTGCTATCCACTGCACCACCCGACCACCCTACAGAAACACATGGAGAGTTACCAAATAAAAAGACTTAAAACGTCCGCCACGGCAAACGGTGCTAGTTTTGGACATAGGGAAGTCCTTATGGCACATGCATACTTGATTAATGGAGACAGCGGTAGTAGTAGAGTAGTAGTACATGTAGTAGTAGTACAGTAGGGCAGTAAAGCCTCACTTTAGACTGCTTTAAGACTTCGCTTTTCTATTTTGAAACTTGTTATTTGTTTCTATGTACCTGCAGCTGTCACTATATCATTATATTCCAGTACATTTAAAACAGGACAAAACCCATTTGAAAGCACTTATATACATTAATTTCACTAAGGAATAATGTGTCACAGTCTAAATGTGCACTTTAATATATAGTGGACTAAGTATAGCAAGTCTCGTCATTTTGGGAAAACATAAGTAGTAACGGTGATATTACACGCTCTTTCTGTAACAGGGAATACCAACCTTAGTCATTTAGCACACTGGTATGCGGATTTCATCCAGTTATAGATGACCGATAGCGTTGCTGATGACGAAATTACAACCCGGACAAAACCTGTGACATCGGGTCGTTTTATGTGGCGTTAAATTGATGGTATGAAGCATAGGTCAGCTTAACCAAACCTCATTTTAAAATGTTATCTAGAAATTCTTACTAAATACTTCCGTTAGTTTTTCTCCGTATTTAAATATATCATTGTATAAATTTCAGTTTCGCAAGGAAACTTTGATAAAATGACATTATACATGTAACCAACGTGGATATATTTTTAGACGAAGTTTTCAATGATGTGTCACCGAAAATAAACCTTAAACAAATGCGTCTTTAACATACTGGGCGGTAGCCCAAGGCAGTTTGACAAACCGCCAGGTATCTGTAAAGACTTGAAGTATTTACAAGAGAGCAATATATCTACAGTGTGTACATGTATGCATATGTGTTATTTTGATAATCGTTATCCATTATATTTTACATATTAATATTTCTTAAGCAGTGTTTGTATATTGTATACAAGTATAAAATGTTGAATTGATAAAACATCACTACTAAAAACGAGCTTTCAAAGCGCGATTTGTTAAGGGCAATATTTAAATATATTATCGTTTGACCACTATTTCATCGTATACATATTGTTACAAAAGACATGTATGAGGTTATTTTTGTACACATGTGACCATTGGTTTCGGTTTTTATATTGTGTAAACATTGTATATCGTACTTTTGACGATTCGAGATAATATTTCAACGATGGCATTTTTCCAATTGACTGCCCATTGCTGTTAATTGCTAATATTTTGCAGTAGGCTGATTTTCATTATGTTTTTTGCCTGAAACATACGCGAATTTTATAGTGATGGGCGTTTGTCTTCTAGTAAAAAGTTAGGACATTTGCAATTGACAGTCTTGCTTTAAATTGAAACCCTGCAAAATTAATTACTCTGAGTAAATGAGAGGCTAAAATTTGATTGGTATCCGGTGATTGAGTCTCGTTCAACCAGATGCTTCATCACTTTTGTTCGGCGTAGCTTGCGCAGATAGCAAGAGTCTGGTTAAACAAGACTACCAGTGATTGTGTGCGTCAGGAAGTGACGTAGCGGTCACGTGAGTGGTGTACCTGTGCTGTTGCTGACGTAAATCGGTAACGTGGTGACGGAGGGCATGCATATCCGGGACTGATCGGGATTCCGCCGACGACACTCATCAATAATGATAGCATTGCTGTAGCTTCCATTCACATCCGGGTAACACAGGGAACACGGGGCACATTCATAAGTGCTCGACTGCCGGAACATTCCTGTAAAGACAATTTTAGACGTAAAAGGGTTAAAAAAAGGAACTTTTGACCAAGTTATGATAAAATTATTTCTGATAAAGATTACTGTTGAAAGCGAATACTTTTATAAGCGCCATTTGCTAATCATGGTCATGGGTATCTTAAATTGATCCGAACATGATGTGACTTTGGATAAATATAGGTATTTCAAACGAAACTACAATGTATGCAATACACTTATATACCCTAGAACAGTTGTTTCGGCTCTATATGACACTCAGTGATTTGTTTCCCACCCAGGAGATATAGTAATTTGATACAGCTGCACAAAATAGCCCATATGTCTCGCACTTGGTCTCTGTTAAAACATTGTCACCCTTCCTAACAGTGGTAGTGGCTGCCGTGAGCAAACCGGTAGATGTTACATTAGCTACCTTTACCTGAAGGATTCATGTTTAAGTCCTTACCTAGTTTGAGTTCTCCTACCGTAGCTAGGATTTATAAATTGCAATTCTGGGGTTTTTAAAAAAGGTAATATGGTAACCATGGTTTGAAGACGGCGTAAGATTATTGCTAAGTTCCGATTACAAAAATAACAGTGGAGTGTGAAAAGATCGGTGGACCTCTTTTTTGCAATACCGAAATTATCTCTTCATACGGAATCGATCCCCTCTTAGTNGGGGGGGGGGGGGGGGGGGGGGGGTGATAATGTGACCAAAAGTGATAAACGGTTTCTGCGAAATATCTGGTTTCTTTTGAGTCCCGGAATTTGGGAAAGACTATGGCCCTATTGCAATTCTTTTCAATCATAATTCTGTTTTGGCACAACCTTTTGCCGCCCATTGTCCATCATGGTACTATATCAACCGTTTGTGTTTGTTTTGAAGTTTGGCTATGTACGACAAATACACTTGACCCCTGGGGCCCAAATGAAACATTTAATATACATACCTGGTCTACACTCCCCGCAAACAGTATCGTGTGTTGAGTTACATGTATGTGCTATAATTTCACCTAAACGACAGTCCGAACATTGTAGGCAGTAGTGTGACGCATTGGGCGTCCTTGTGGTATACGTCCCTTCCTGGCATTCCTTACATTGGGTGTCCCTTCTTAACGAGCACTGTGACGTCACGTAGGTTCCTGGGAGACACTCGGTGCAAGGAATGCATTTCCCCTTTTTGTAATATTTTCCTTCCGGGCATTCTTTACATTGGGTGTTCCTTCTTAACGAGCACTGTGACGTCACGTAGGTTCCTGGGAGACATTCGGTGCAAGGAATGCATTTCCCCTTTTTGTAATATTTTCCTTTCGCGCATTCACACTGTGCTTTTTCAATATTCGTGCATTTTCGTCTGGATTTTCCTCCTTGCCGACAGTGTTTACATGGATGGCACCGCTTGGCGTTACTAGAGGAATACGTGTCCCGCCTACATGGCTCACAATGCGTGTCGTCGACTTTTGTACAATGCGTTACCTGTCTAAATCCCGGTTTGCAAAGTGTGCATGGTTTACACTCTGCCTTTCCTTCAAGGGAGAGGTCGGTGTAATGATCACGCCATTTTGGACATTTCGCTGTAAGGATTTGCTTTCCCTGAAATTAGGAAATGATGAGCGATATTAATACATATATACCGAACAATAAAAAACTGCAAGTTTACAGCGGAGATTCAAACAGCCAACTTATAATTCTGAATAGGAGTGTAGGTACAGAGTAAACGAAGCGTGTTTCAGACATGAAATTGGCATCCCAGCGCTTGGTGTACCATCTAAGAACAAGTATTTAAATTCTAATTATCAAAACAATTAAAGATATATTTAAAAAAAGAATATTGCTTTAACGAATGAAATATTTGGGTTCAAAACCTCATTTTAAAAAAAAAAAGTTTTATAGAATTTTTAACCCCCCACTCCTACGCAAATTTTACTTTAGAGAAATCGTAGATACTCATAAATACAGGGAGATAACGGATACTTTATTATGTTTTTTATCAACTATCTATTTAACTAAGACTACAGTGTAGCTTTAAAGCGTCTGGCTAGTCGATTTTTAGAAGCAGTCTTATTCAATCTATTAATAGATTTACTTGGTACGTTACAACACGGACTTAGATATCATCTAATTCCGTGGTTACACAAAACATCCATTTTCTCTATGCTATACGTACATATTTACCCATTTCCTTTAGTAACATGTGGTCATATCAAAGTTAAACAACAAAACTGCCGCATACCGAAAGTAGGTCATTCGATTTTACACAGTCTATTTGGACACGCCTCATGAACAGTAAAGACCTGGTAATGCAAATATTGCTACATGTTAAAATAAGAGTTAACTGTATCGTGCGATGCTTTATTCGAGCGTGTGTACAAAGGGTTTCTGTCCATGTTTATATGTTTTTATCAAATGTGTGTTTGTGACATATACAACTGTATTTAAGTCAAGCCCTTATACGTATGTGTATGCACGTGCCCCTTATCCCTTTGATAAATGACGGGAGAGTATTTTGTTGTGAGAAGTAATCAATACGTTTGAAAAGATCTGACAAATCAGACACGTATACACTACGTATGTCTCTGAACACATGTAGTAATGCACACCAAGTATTAGTGATCATAGTCAATTCTAGTCACGGAATACAAATAGAATACAACGAACTGTTTATACTGTATAGTACAAACTATCCGTGTAAAACACGTTATTTTTTCAATTCGTCATACTCTAACCTACATTTGTATACCTTATATGAGTGAGACTTGTAATGTTGGCAATAGTCCAGCCCCTCGACATCCTAACGCGATCCGTTTACCATAACTATATATGTATATGAAAACGAAGTAACTGGTCACGCTTTTCAGAGATGTGCGATAAGGACAAGGAAAAAAATACAGGTGATTATATACACGGGAAATAAAACAGCTTGCCTCATTAGATACAAGCCCATATATCTGATGGCAGCCTGCTACCGAGTAACGAATCCCAATACAATAACATAATGGTCAAGGCACAATTACACAGGTACAAGTGTGTAATGGTGAATGGTAACGAGCCCACTGCTAATTCATTTTACAATGTCACGTCCGGCCGTCACGAAATTCCAGGCAAAATGTTTTCATCATGAAACAGCTAACAAACTGTTTGTAAACGATATATATATAGTTAGTGTGGTGTGTACATTGAACGATAAATACGCATTATTTATATATATACACACACTCACACCAACATAATACGAAACTGCGTCTTACAGTGTAAAAGATCAATAAATATTGAAAGATGTAAACAACTACTTAACCTTACCTCAGTGTGGTCTACAGTCAAAATTCCAAACACGGTGACGATTATCGCCAACATAGCTCTGCATAGTTTTGTAGTCAGACGTACGTAAAAAAAACACAGCACACATACATGTATGTACACGTAGCTATACAATTGTGGAATTTCCAGTAGGCTATTTATAGCTCGCAAAGAAATGGATGCACAGCATCAGAAGTATATATAGATATAATGTGAGCATGTTCAGTTTTAGACAATGCTATTGGCCAGATAAAAAAAAATCAAAAAAATATGATTTTTTTCTCAAATTTGAGGAAAGTAGCCCATTATTCTTTTAGATCCGTCTTCAGTCACGAGAAATTGAAAAAAAACAATTCATCTCTGACTGATGATCTTAAATTGATACTACAGTCTAAAAAGTCTCCATCTCTGACTTGTGTGGGTGGATTTAGGTCCGCTAAAGAATGCTATAATCATAAGTATTCATATTATCTAAGACAGCGTTACCATCGGGTAGTTCCAGCAGACGATTTCGCTCTGAAGAGTATTAATTTAATCTTTTATATAGGACACTCATTTATTAAACTTTTTTCGAACCATAGTTATTTATAATTGATCAACTGAGCGGAACTGAATCGCAATGAGAACGAGGGCCATATATATCTGTGTGTGTATTGACCTGATAAAAGTGAAACTAGATTCCTTAGACGACGGGCCTAATTTCTTTTTAAAATTCAAACCTTACCTATTTGTAGGCTGTAAATTATTCACATTACATGAGATAGTCCTTATGAATGACTGTTACATTGTATATGGAGGAGCAAATTTACTTCCAGGAAATGTTACTTCCTGAAAAAGTTACTTCTTGGAAAAGTTGCGTAATTAAGAAAGCCGAATAGTACCACACGGAATAAATATTACCTCGTAATTACGAGTTCCGTTTCGTTATTACGAGGTACGTTGTATATGCTATCTCGTTATTATACGAGTTACGTTACCTCTTTATAACGACTTAAGGTAGCCGTTTAAAATAGGGACGCATAATCAATGAGAAGTACAGCATGTTCGTTAACAAACATATGTCCCCACCCCACTATTCCGCTTTCCTGGGAATTAATTTGAGCATTTTTTCGTATGGTACTAATCGGCTTTCGTACGTATACGTAGTCGACCGGCATATAATCACAATCTTTAACCTGAATGCGTGTAAATCCCTTATGCAACCCTATACCAGTAATTAGTTATCTTACAAGAAGTGTATCTTACTAATTTTAGTAACGTTTGAAAAGTTAACGTACAGACGACTAAGTTATATTTAAACTGTCTGATACAGAACTAATGCATCGTCTTGGTTGCATATAGCATACATACGCTATGCATATGTTTTTCTGCATGTAAAATTATCAAGACTCGGGACCTATAATTGCGGTGAAATCGGAGTAAGGTAACGACTTCCTGCTCTAAATCTTTACAATACTATCTGCCAATAGGAAGATTTTTAATAACTTAGCTAGCGTGTATTCAGAGCGTGTGAAACATCCAGATCTGTATTCTAATTTAAAGACATGAAGTGTTCTTGTCACTCTGTCAACAATTTCTTTTATACGGAACAGCATGAAGGCCATTGCATTTTTTTTACAATCAGTTTTACGATAGCCGACAAGAGCCTGATAAAAAAATATGAATGTTCATATCTTCTTGTACCATAGTACACTTTTATATGATACACAAAGATATTAAAATTCAAATCTTTGTATACCATGTAAAAGTGTACCATGGTATATCAGGCTATTGTCGGCCATCGCACATTTTTATTGAAAATCTTGAATGTTAAAGATCGGCACACATGTACTGTCATTTCCGTGCAAGATCATTCTTTAAAGTGTAATAGGAAGAATGTATAACATAACAAGCCGTAAGCACAAGATACCGAGCGGTACGTACAAGATAGCAAGTTGTATGTACAATATAACACGTTGTACGTACAATATAAGAAATCATACGTACAAGATAACGAGCGGTACGTTCAAGATAACACGTTGTTTGTACAATATAACAAGGCATACGTACAAGATAACGAGCGGTACGTACAAGATAACAAGTTGGTTGTGCAAGATAACACGTTGTATGTACAATATAACAAGTCATGCGTACAGGATTACGAGCTGAACGTACAAGATAGCAAGTTGTATATGCAAGATAACACGTTGTATGTACAATATAACACGTTGTACATACAATATAACAAGTCATACGTACAAGATAGCAAGTTGTATGTGCAAGATAACACGTTGTATGTACAATATAACACGTTGTACGTACAATATAACAAGTCATGCGTACAAGATTACGAGCTGTACGTACAAGATAGCAAGTTGTATATGCAAGATAACAAATCATGCGTACAAGATAATAAGTTGTATGTGCTAGATAACACGTTGTACATGTATATACAATATAACACGTTAAACATACAATATAACAAGTCATACGTACAAGATAACGAGCTGTACGTACAAGATAACGAGCTGAACGTACAAGATAGCAAGGAGTATGCACAATATAACGCGTTGTACGTACAATATAAGAAGTCATACGTACAAGAAACCGAGCGGAACGTACAAGATAACACACTGTATGTACAATGTCACACGTTGTACATACACTGTAACAAGTCATACGTAGAAGATAACGAGCTGTACGTACAAGATAACACACTGTATGTACAATGTCACACGTTGTACATACACTGTAACAAGTCATACGTAGAAGATAACGAGCTGTACATACAAGATAACAAGTCATGCGTACAAGATAATAAGTTGTATGTGCTAGATAACGCGTACTACATGTATATACAATATAACACGTTGTACATACAAAATAACAAGTCATACGAACAAGAAACCGAGCGGTACGTACAAGATAACACGTTGTATGTACAATATAACACGTTGTACATACAATATAACAAGTAATACGTTAAAGATTACGAGTTGTACGTACAAGATAGCAAGTTGTATGTGCAAGATGACACGTTGTATGTACAATATAACACGTTGTACATACAAAATAACAAGTCATACGTACACGATAACGAGCGGTACGTACAGGATAACACGTTTTATGTTCAAGATAACACGTTGTATGTACAATATAACACGTTGTACGTACAAGATAACACGTTGTATGTACAATATAACATGTATAGATACAAAAAAACTATTTTGTTGTCCTACTTACTGCATACATTAGTGCTTATGTTACTTTCAAATAAAATTAATGACTTCAAAAAAAAAAAATATATATCTACAATAATACAGTAGATAAAAAGGCAGGATTTGTAGCAGACTTTTGGCATACCTGTGGGAACAAACTGTTTCCCTCTTAAACATGTAGCTCAATTGGTTTTTTTTTTTGTTTTTCGTACGAGTTTTTTTTTTTCAAAAAGATTTGCCTTCCAGAAAATAAAGATCTTGCAAAGTGCTTAAGTTTCCGATCAAAAATATATATCAACGATTCGCTATGTTTAATAATGAAGAAGATCATTGGCCACGTCGATAAATTAGAAAATCTTTATTTTGAAATCTATGGCATGTCTGACCCTCCGGCTTCAGCGGCATTCCTCGATCTTCAGAAACATCATGATAAATAGGGACGGCTTACTAAGGGCGCTTATAGAGCCTTCGATTTGGTCGCAATTTAGTCCAGGGCTGCAGAGAACGTTATGATTCTAAATATGCATATGTTAATAGAACATGTTTGTATAGACGAATTTGCTACATATATTACGATTTCCGTGATAGGTGACTTTCCCTGTGAGATATAATACCTGATGTGTAAGATTTTGTAACAAGATTGAACCGTGCCGTTCGTCTCCACAACCCCAGTGCTTACTATGAGGATGTGACAAAAATGCTTGGATTTTACTTTATAGAACACTTGCATCGCAAATGTTGCCGATAAAAAAATAATAATAAATATACAACATTTGATAAAGCGCCCTATCTAGCTAACATAAGCCACTTTAAAGCGCTTTACAGAACATAGATATACAACTAATACAATTAGCATATACATTAATCAATACAGTTTTGAGGAATTCGCAGGAGCTGCCTTATCAGGTGCTAACTACTAGTCCTATTCCACCTGGCTAATATTTCCCTATGTGTGTATGCCTGCGTGTGTGCTGGAAATGTAATGTGTTCTGTTTGTAGTGGGACCGTGCTTCCAACGGCATCATTTATAGTGTCGACCTCACTTGAATGCTACAGCACAGATACCGCAACATCCACCCACCCCAATTTATACTCCACCTGGGTTGTTGGAGTTGTGTGGGGAGGAGCATTACATTTTCTCTGTATATCCATACGTACGCCGACTTCGGGGACCGAACCCCGGCCGGCTGCGTGAAGGGCCGGAGTGTTAACCACTTGACCAATCCACCCATTTCGCTGATAAAGACGCTTTCCCCTCCAAAACACATAATGATTTTCACTCCTGTCTTCTTCCTCTTCTTCCTCTTCTTCTTCTTCTTCTTCTTCTTCTTCTTCTTCTTCTTCTTCCTTCTTCTTCTTCTTCTTCTTTCTTCTTCTTCTTCTTCTTCTTCTTCTTCTTCTTCTTCTTCTTCTTCTTCTTCTTCTTCTCATTTTGCACCTAGTTTCAGGCTGAAATGTGCTTATTTGTAAATGTTTATTAATGATTAACTTATCATCCTTGGTAGACTTATCCGCATGGAAGCTGCCCAACGCAACATAAACATAGTATATTTGATATAAGACTTTATTGATTGATATAATTATACATGCGCAAAGTGTTAAATGATAAAATGACAAAAATGAACTGTTGTTGTTCAAATTGAACTGTTTTTGCTGTGTTACTGGACTGTAAATGTGCATGCGAAAATGATTTGTATGTTAAATGTCAAAATTTCTGGAACAAAAAAGGAAACCAAATTGATATTAAAGAAAAGAAATTGAATATAAGATAATTAACAAATACAAAAAACATTCTCGCCCCCAAGTAACCTTGGCTCCAAATACGCGATTCCAATTGTTGGCTGTCTATCAGTATGTACACTCCTATTATTGGTATTGTTTTTATTATTAAGTGAAACTAAAGCTATTTTGATTTTTGACCCCGCAAAAAGTGATAAT